CGGAGGAAGTGAAGACCAGATACGACACAAGAGCTACTGGACACAGATTCAAAGAAGGAGACAAGGTGTGGTTGTGGAACTCGATTCAACGAAAAGGACTCAGTCCTAAATTACAGCCACCTTCGGATGGTCCATATACAGTGCTGAACACGAATGACGTCATGGTTCGGATCCGTAAGTCTTCGAACTCTAAGCCTAAAGTCGTTCATTACGACACGTTAGCTCATTACTATGACCATAGCACGTAATGTAAATAATTGTAAATAGTATAAGACCATGGTCCTTTTTGTTTTTAAATGTGTATTTGATTTGATTTGTATTTAGTATTTGATTTGTACTTGATAGAATTTGATTTGTTATATTTATTGCATTTATTGTTCATCTTGTTTATTATTGTAATGTAATACTTATTAATGCATTTATGCAACAGTTGTAAGTTTAGCTTCCTGTCCAGGGATTGTACTGCCCGGGACGTGCAGTCCTTGGGAAGGGGGCATCGTTACGAATTTGGTATTTAAAAAGCTAATGTTAGTTCAATTATAAATTAAATGGTTTTATCCCGCGCAGTGCAGCGCGTGACGAATATTAAAAGAAGAAAGCTAAGCCGAAAAATTAAAAATACAAGAGCACGTGCATTTAACATTAAATAAATAAGTATGTCTTTTTGATTTCGAGAAAGTACCAGAAAATTCTCGCACGCGATTTAAAAATCTTATAAAAGGAGGAAAACCTCTCAGTTTGTAGTAGTTACTTAGTTTGTTGTTGTTTAGAAAACTGCTCTTGTTGATTGTAGCGAATTCGCGGATTAGCTTTCTTTAGCTGTTTTGAATTAAGTTCTTTTGAACGTTTGAGTAGTTAAAAGATAACTACTGTGATATAGTGTGATACTGCACGATTATTTGAGGACATTTAATCATATTTGTTGTTATAATTATAAATGTTTGTCCATTTTTCATCGGACATGTGCATTCATTTCGTAACGAACCCGTACGCACGCAACAATACTAATAAAACGGATTTCATCACAAAATCAAAGACCTCTGCATATTTACATTTGTTGCTTAGAACATCGAACAGCCCAGAAATTTTTCAGCGGGCAATGGATTTCATTCTTCGGCTTGTCTCTTCAGCTTGTCTCAGGAACTAATTGTTTTGTATACGTATGTAGATGTAAATAAAGAATCAATACAAGAGCATGTATAGGATTTCCATAAAGAATTTTCTGTTTTAAAAGGTGCAAGAATGAAAGTAAATACCGATAAATGTAAATTTGCTCATAAAGAAATAAAATATTTAGGATTTAAGATCACTCAGGAAGGCATTCAGACAGACGAGACGAAATTTCTGGAGATGAAAATCTTTCCCACTCTAAACTGCCAAACATGTTAACATCGTTCCTCAGATTACGTTCGTATTATTTAACGTTTATGAAAATTTTTAGCCGAACTAGAAAGCAAAAAAGGTTAAATATTCTAAGAGGGAATAAAAATCCTACATAGAGCCTAAATCAGGCCTTGATAAACTTTCCAGAGCCTAAAACAGGCTTAAATTACAGCACCAGTTTTAAAAGTACTTGATCCGCGAAGGGCCTTACAATTTTAGGTTAGGTTGGGCTAAGTATAAGTGTAGAGACTACCTATTATTTACTCTTAATAATAAGGCTCCTTATACTAACTTTAATGATTAATATCCTCTTCCTGGAATCCACAGTGCCGTTCTAGTACCGAAGTGCTACTGTTTACTGGCGGTGTTATCAGTTGTTCTTTTTTATATTCGGACTTGGGCAAGAGGGGCATTTACACCGCTGCCTGGTTTATACATTAAACATTGTACACACCAATTCCTAGAGCAGGAATACATTACACTGTTGCTTAAGTATCAAGTTCACCTGCTTGGGCTGGTGGGGCATTTAACTGTGTACGAAATGATTGCATGTTCATCACACATTACCAATTGTTGCGTAGAGATGCGTAAGCTAAGCCCCTTGCACTACTTATGAGTGGCTCACTCTATGGCCTGTTTTAACATGTTAGAGGCATTTATTGCTTTCCTGTGGAATTTCACGGGCAAATATTGTAATCTACATTTAATTGTTTTGTTTCGCTGTTGTTGGAGCACTTTCTTTGGTGGCTAAATAGCGCTGCATAGCTCTTGACTTCTGGCATTTTATTCCATAAGTGCTTATTTTTGATTGCATACCTCAAGAATAAAGATAAATCCTCTTCTAAATTTGACTTCTTTATATGAAGTGGTGTTCTGCTAACAGGTTGGGATAAAGATAATGTTCGGGGTAACCCATTTCTTCGCATTCGTAATAATCTGTTGAAGAGAGATTCCTTGCACAGACTTACGTGGGAAAGTGGCCGTGCTCTAGACAAAGTGTTTTGTCTGGTCTGGTAACATGAATCGGAGAAAGGTTAACTTTGAGGAAGAGGTTGTAAAATCTTCTCCCTGTAATCCCAGTGAATGCTTGTTTTCATGGCATTTATTCCCTGGGCTGCCTCTATAGCTAATAAGTTCGCCTCTTCGTTTCCCTTGTGATCAACATCGGGTTTAATTCCAAGTTACAAAGAAATGTTAGCCTTGGGCACTGGAGGACTTGCTGAAAATTTCTTCAGCTAGTGGTGATTTATTACTTGGGTTCGCGTCTTAGGTATAGCCATTGGGTTAAGGGGCAGAATCTGAAAATACTCTAGACTAACTAGTGGTCGAGCACGTAGTTTGGTAAACATGCTTCGACCTGGTTTTGTAGTTCGACTTGGGTTAAAAAGGTGAACGGGCTGTCAGCGGAGTTCAAGATTTGCATTGTGGTTTTCCTGTAGTAAGTTGACTTTGGAGGAAGTTTTTATCGTTACTTTCGAAATTTTGAATCACAGAAAGACATGTGATATAGCAAAATCGTGGCACATTTGTTGACAGACGTTGTGTGATTGGCAAAATTTTATTCACGTATGTATTATGGTAAGTGCATTTATATTTTATTTGCTTTATTTTGTAGAATGTTATGTTCATTGGTTTTTACTATGAATTTCTGTTGTTATTTGAATTGTTTGTAATTTATTTTAGGTATTTTAGTTTATTTTGTTGATTTGTGCGCAATGCCTAGATTATGCAATTTGTAGATGTTTTTTTTTTAAGTTTAAACAGAATGCTGTGTACATGGTATTTTTTTAATTTTATTGTTGTTATATTAATTTATTAAAGCGAGGTATGCGTAGTTCGTAGATTCTTTCTCTGGCTAGATTGTGCAATACGTAGATGTTTTTTAAGTTTAAACAGAATGCTGTGTGTACATGGTATTTATTGAAATTTATTGTTGTTATGTTAATTTATTAAAGCGAGGTGTGCGTAGTTCGTAGATTCTTTCGCTGCCTAGATTGTGCAATTCGTAGATTTTTTTTCTTCTTATGTTAAAAGATATCACTGTGTACATGGATTCTTGTCAAATATTTTTGGTTAGGAACTTTACGTTTTTGCTACCTAAATTTTTTGTTTTTGTTTCGGATTTTTTGCATTTGCGAAAACCGCACTTTTGGAGACATTTTAGGCTTAAAGTTCGAAATGTAGACAAAAAATTTAGATAGTAATATGTCACCGTGGAGAAATTTGGCGACCTGAAAGCGCATATAAGAGCAGTTCCGCTGCTAAATTACAAAGTGTGAAAAAAAAAAAAAAAAAAAAAGAGAGACTGGTCCAATAAATCATTGTACTTACAGAATCAGTTCTCCGTGCAATCACTTTCGAAGTTGTTCCCTTCAGAATTCGGTGCTGCTATTGCAGGCAAGAGTTCTGAAACGAGGTTTTTGGAATGCCCTTCAGGAGATTCTCCGTTTTGCCTGAACCTCTTCAGCTGAGGTAAAATGGGTTCCCTTTAAGTAAGATTTAACTTTAGAAAATAAAACAAAAGTCGCGTGGACTTAAATCAGGTGACAAAAGGGGGATTCACTGTCACAGTCATGTTTTCGCTGGCCAGAAACTTTTTGACAGATAGGGCTGTGTGGGCGGGTGCATTGTCCTGGTGCAACAGCCATTCATCACTCCACATTTGTGGCCTTTTATTTCCTAATTTTTTCACGAAGTCTTTTTAGTACTTCAATGCAGTAGTGTCGATTAACAGTCTGACCATTGGGAACCCATTCAATCATGATGGGCTCCCAAGAGGGCGCCCAGCACGTTCATCATCTTCCACACTGTCCCATACCCCTGAAAACCCCTTATGCCATTCAAACACTCGTGCATGGGACAAGGTTTCATCTCCGTAGGCCTCGGTTAACATTTGAAATATTTCCTCCGTGGCTGATTTCTTAAGTTACACAAGAAACTTGATGTTGCTTCGCTGTTCGGTTTTTACATTAGACATTTTTCCGGCAGAATGCAGTTGCACGTGTTCACTCAATGACGCAGCACTCCCCACTGGGGTGGTCGGTTAAGTCGAAACTAACAGCATGGATAGAGGAGGTATGTGGCATGACGTTACCAGAACAGTTTTTGGCAACTCCCCACTGTTTTTTAGCTACATACTTGGTCTCTTTTTGTGTGTGTGTGTCACACCTCGTATTTCTTATGCTTATGAAATGTTATGTTAGCTGAATGGCTTATATAATAAATGTAAAATTACTATTAAAAGTTAAAATTTTTTGATAAGAAAAAGTTAAATTTGAACCTTCAGATACCAACTACCAACATTTATATTAATTTTCCGCAGACAAGTTCAAGAATCTCAAGTTAAATTTTTGGTAAAATGCATAATCAATTATAGCAAGTATCTAATCTTAAAGAAGAAAACTTTCGTTTAATCGTTTAATGCACGTTAGTCGATGCTGGAATATATTTCTGAATAAAATTAATAACCAATTTTTAATACTGATATTATTTTCGTTTTCAACCTCACTAGCCAAAACTTATATAACGTTTTTATACCTTGATGTAGACATTAGTCGAATATCCATGATTCCAAACTTATTTAGATATATTTGTCGATTAATAAAAATCCTTTTCAGCTTGTAACGGGCGTTACGAAGACCCCTCGGGGACGATCACTACTCCCAAATATCCAAGTGCCCTTGCTGGTGAAAGGTGTTTGTTTCGAATTACAGCACCCGCAGGGCGAAGCGTTAAGTGACTTTCAATCATTTTAACTTGCCAAGAGATGACACCACCGGCACATGCCTCAGTTACATAAAAGTAAGTCCTATTAACTCGTTAATGTAAAAATGGAGGATTGGAAATACAGACTTTCCTTAGGAAAGAAAAAGAATAGAATTGTAGTTCCCAACCTGCTTTGCTCCAAGTACGCCTTTCACACGTGCTAGAAGTTCATTCCCATCTCCTTTAGAAAACTCGAAAAATGCATATACATTTATTTAGTTTTATATAATTTTTATCATATTTTTATAAATTTCAAAAACTACAGAAAATGTTGATAAATACTAAAACTTGCATAAAATAATTTTTTACGTTCATAAATTAAATCTCTTGGGAAGGTTTTAAATCAAACCTTTTATTAATCATAACTTGAACATAAGGGCACTACTCGTGCTCTCATAAACCATCGCAACTTATGGCGACAAAGCTTAAAGTAACAGCTGAATTTAAAATTTAAAACTAACACTAGTAGCTAAAGGCTACACAAATGATTTAACACGAAGCTGTCTCAAATTTTCACCGGCGTAACAATTTAAATATCGGCAGCATTTAATGCAGACCGAAGAATACAGTCTTATCTATGCTAGCTAAACTCAAATACAACCTCGAGATGGAGAAAGACGCCATGTCATAGAATCTAACAACCCCAGTTTAAATATTCAGTCTAATTCGAATTCTGGGGGGGGGAGAGAAAGGAACAAGTGACAGTAAAGATCCTAAACACAAAATAACTGGTTCATGAAAAATAATAGTAACCTTACAGTCATAAAATTTGTTTTATTATAACATATGAACTTTCATCAAACACTGTATTATGCTTAGTACTAAATAGGTCATATATTGGAGGTTTGGAAACTGAAACCGAATATAATCACATAATTGTCGCTTCCAGGTGTACCGAGATGATAAATGTCGACAAGTTAAATCTTTCTTTTGTTAAAGTTGGTTTAATTAAGTCATGTTAGGTTGCCTGAATATGGCAAAGTACACGTGTGCTACCTACCTAAGAGATATCTTCGTAGAGAAGTTTTACGGAAGTTGGTCTGTATTCACATTACACATGGGCAAAATCACAAAAACCTCAGTTTTGAGTTGAAGACGTTTATTTAATTTTATTTTCTAGTTTATAATTTATAATTGTAGATAGATTATTACCTTACTTTTACGGATTTTTATTTATTTTACAAACGGATCGGACAGGGCTGACCACTTCTGAAGTACTGAAAATGCTACACGAATTGCTATCAGATAGTGAATTTGATACTGATTCCGGTACATGTGCAAAACATGCAATATTGGGTTGTGCTTTTTGAAAGGTGGTGTCAATTTCTTCGAAAAGTACCACCATGAAAAAAAAGACTAAAGTGTAAATATGAAATGTAAATAATGGAAATATCATATACCCAAGTTACTTTTTTTTCATTCATACGCATGTAATCATCATATAACCAAAAAAGAGCTTTTTAGGGATGTGTGTAGAGTAGCAGGTATCTCCCTGGCACATCCTGGGTAATGCTAAAGCTGCTGCGGTATTTAAAATCTAGTGTTTCTTAATCGTAGGCAAAATCTCTTACTCTTTTACGCGCTTCCCAGCAACACTTGTTTCAGCACTCTTTTCGAAGCTTTATTAAATAAGCGTACCCGCTTCGGGCACACCCACAGAATTAAAACAATAAGTGCTATCTTCGCAAAATTTTACTTGTGTACTCCTCTAGGCCTAATTAGACTGCCTACATTTTTTTTTTTTTTTTTCGAAATTCCACATTTGAAAGGTAGCGTGCCGGAAAGGGTTAAAAAAGCATAACCTTGTCTGCGTACTGACCTTAAAATAAACTGCAACACTTTTTAGCCTTGGCCACAGTACAAAACGTACGGATTGCTTTTTGGTGCAGAGCTTATGGAATGCCTTTTATTTTCAAAATCTTATTTTTCCTCTTTACACCCTTAATTTCATCCATTGCCATCTTCTTTATAATTTTATTTGCAATATTTCTTGCTACCATAATAAAAATACATTTTCTTTTACAGTAAGATTAATTCTTAACATACACACTAGCTATCATTCATGAGAATGAAATGAATTTTTTTTATAATATGATGCTTCATGAGATTCAAATGAAATAATAAGACAAATTACTGGAATTCTTGATATCCGTTGTATTTACATTAATAATTAGAAGAGCCTGAACTTCAAAATAATATTTAAGGTGACATAAGATTATAGCAATAGCTAACACATAATTGCCTTAAGTTTGTAAGAACCACTTACTTATCTTATAAGGTATTTCTCCCACCTTCTTGGGATGCCTTTGTGGTGCGGTGGTCTGCACGCTGGGCGCGTATTCCAGAGGTCCGTAGTTCGATTCCCGGCGAAGGCGTTGCTTATTTTTCATCTTACCTGCTTTCGAAAAATACCTAACGTCTCTACAATCTTCTGAGTGACAACTTCACGTGTAGAAAGTACGTGTAGGAACTACAGAGGAGAAGGGTTAAAAGTACGCTTTATTAAACTCTTTAAAATTCATAATGCGTCAAACTTGACGCTAACACACTGAGCCTCACTCGGACGGTAACTCTAACAAGAACTAAACTAAACATTCGAAGATATTGACAAGCAGTAGAAATTACGCTGCAGGGCTCAGATAAATCCTGTTACTTAAAACCACGTCGAAATCCAGTGGCAGCAAAGTAAAAGCTGTTAAGCCACGTTAACCAGCAATAAGTGCAGAAATAGGAGCTCACGCTACGGAGGTAACGGCGATTGTCCAAACTCTCTCACTTTCCTTACTAGAAATCTGTATTTAAAATTTTTCTCCTCAAGGTAAAATTTGCATTACTTCGAGCACGCTACAAAATTTAACTATTCTGGCAATGACAATTAGGGGAATGAAGCCTTATAGGGAAGCTTAAAATTAATCTTAACTTGTTAGTTAAAATGAATAGAAATCCCTCCAAGTTGCTTAGCAAAACAAAATTGCTGTATTTTAAACTAAAAAAGGACACTAAAATAATTCCTAAGTAATTTTTTAATAAATGCCTATTTCAAGCAAGGAATTTAGAATAAGATAGTGTTTTAAAAGGCTACAAAGAACTAAGAAATATAATGAAACGTTACCAAGGAACCTCTTCGTGAAATAATATTGCAATAGCACAAATGATAAAGGCTTTTTTTTTTTTTTTAAATACGATAGGCTGCTTGCTTTCTTAAGAATACCATAAGGTAATTCAGTACGTAAAATCATATACTGAAAGGCAACAAATATAATTCAAAAATATGAAAGCAAAATATTTACCACATCAGAGGATTGGATTTGTATTGCTGAAAAAAGGAAATAGGATTGAAATATCAAAGGAGTTTAAATACTGTTAAGGCAAATGGCATATTTCAATAGTTACCAAATATAATATTTAGATTTAAAAATAAATTTTGCAAAGTAACTATTTATTTGTTTTATTGCAAAATATGCAAGAAAGGCTGAGAGTAAATTTTTCTCCTAATAAAACCCTTAAGGGGTCTCATACCTTGTAAATCCATCACAAAAAACGAAAACAAAATTATGACTTAATTTTATTCTGTATTGTATTCTGAACACATTAAAAAAACCGCATTAAAAAATTCGCAATAGAACCAAAAATATAGCTAAAACAAGTTGACACACTTTACTGATAAGGCAATGTTTACATTGGAGGGGGGCGTGGCCGATGCAGCTGTTTACTACTTTCGCATCTGTTCTATTCAGCTTTATCTGTGAAAAGCGTTATCTTTGCTATGCGAAATGCTAGATAACGAGCCACACAACCATATTATTCTCTTCCCCAGCTCGCTGGAAGGAAGAAAATCCCTCAATTTCTGCTTTATTTTGATCGTGAAATAATTTGAATGCTAGAAACGTGCTGATATCTTTGATCAGTATATGCATGTGCTCAGCGATATATTTGATTTTTTGATTGCTTTTTTGTATTATTATCTTTAATTTTTTAATTATTTAAATCCTTTTGAGATGGGTTAAGAGTATAATCGATCTGTCGGCTATAGATGCAAAAAACGCCGATATCATGGCCATAAGAAAAGTGATTCTGTTGTGAATGAAGGCAAGTCAGCATCTGCTAAAAAGCTGAAATTAGAGACTTCTAATCATGTGAATGATGCATATAATCACAGTAATTTGCAGGGATATCGATTTCGATGTTAGAATTTTATTTGCAGCTCTTGCAACATCATTGTGCTGCAAAATATGCCATTCAGAAGTAAGTTTTACTGAAGAATCAATTCGTGGTAGCTCATCAGTGTTTTCTGTAAACTGTTTGAAGTGCAATTCTGTGTAAAAAATAAACAGTTGCCCTATGCAAGGATATAAGAACAGTGTGCCTGAAATTAACATTAGGTTAGTTTATGGTATGAGGTGCATAGGCCAAGGATTAGCCAGCTTGAAAACATTTTGTGGTGTTATGAATATGTTACCATCAATTGCACAAAAGAGCTTCGATGTCATCACCAAAAAAATAAAAAAAGCCACCCACACTGTTGCCATGCGGTCAATGAAAACTGCTGCTGAAGAAGAAAGAGCAATTAGCGGTGCTCATGATATAAGTGTGAGTGGAGATGGTACATGGAAGACTCGTGGGCATACATCATACATCTAAAATTGGAGTATGCAGTGTGATTGGTTTGTAAAGTGGGAAAGTAATTGATGTGGAAATACTCTTTTCGTTTTGCAAAGCATGTAAAAGCTCTGCAGCATCAAATCATGATTGCAAAAAGAATCATGCTGGAGGTTCGGGTTCCATGGAGGTTATAGGTATGAAAAGAATTTTCTTACGTTCCGAAGAACCTAGGAATGTGCGATATGTCAAATATCTCGGTGATGGGGATACCAAAACCTTCATGGAAATAACGAAACTGTGCCCATATGGTAAAATTCCAGTGGAAACACTTGAATGTGTAGGCCATGTGCTAAAGCGAATGAATACACGTTTGAGAAAACCGAAACAACAGTTACGTGGCATAAAGCTGAATGATGGAAAGACTCTTAGTGGAAAAGGTCGTTTGACGGATAGCATAATTGATAAACTTATTGTTTATTATGGGAATGCTATTCCCTTAAATACCCATTCGCTACAGAGCATGAGAGAAGCTGTATGGGTTACATATTGCCATATGTCTTCTACTGATGAAGAGCCCATGCATATGTTTTGCCCACAAGGGGAAAACTCGTGGTGCAAATATGACAAACATGTGGTCTGTTCTGATTCAAATGAAGAGAGTTTCCATCATCAACCTACTGTACCTGTAGAAGTGATGAAAAAAATTAAAACTGTGTATGCAGATTTATCTGCACCATGTTTACTCAAACGGTGTCTCAGCGGTAAGACTCAAAATCAAAATGAGAGTTTCAACTCGATTGTTTGGAAATTTTGTCCGAAAACTTCTGGTTGTGGAAAGACAGTCGCAGAAGTTGCAGTTTTTGAAGCTGTCATAGCATTTAATGATGGATATAGAGGTCGCATGGATACATTAAACGAATTGGGCATAAATCCTGGTACTCTTGCATTTACTGCTGCAAATTTAGCCGAAGTAGAAAGAGTTCGAACTGCTGAAATTCGCAATGATTTCCGAACATTAGAGGCTCGCAGAAAAAAACGCTTGGAACAATTAAAAAAAATGAACAATTATTATCAGTAGAAGGTGTTTACTATCAAGCTGGTGATTTTTAGTCATGTAAGTTTAATTTTAATTTCTTTTTCATAATTATAACTTTAGTGTTTTGAGAAAATGCATCTTAATTTTCATGACGGATCGTGAAGTAAGCTGACATGGAAAGTTCAAACTGCTGAAATTCGTGCTGATTTCCAAACATTAAGGGCTTCCATAAAAAAATACTTAGAACAATTAAGAAAAAATTAACAATTATTATTAGGAGAAGGTGTTTCCTATCAATCTGGCAAATTTTAGGGATGTAAGTTTATTTTGATTTTATTTTTCCATAACTTAACTTTAAGCTGCGTTTGACGATTTAAAAAAAACTATTGCACGTAATTCAATTTTTTTCCTGTGTATATATATAGCTTATCTATAGAAGAATTAATATCATTTAGCTATTTACATGGGGGGGGGGGGGTGGGGGGGGGGGGGGGGGGGGGGGGGGGGGGGGGGGGGGGTGGTCTATAAGATTTAGTGTATATATAAATTTAATATCATTTAGCTATATTTAGGTTATTTTTAATGAAAATAACTATAAATTTATGATATTTTTTTTTTTCTTCAAATTTGCATAATTTATAAAACATTCATGTTAAAATAATTTTTTTATTGTTAATTCATTCTATAGAATGTAGTTTTGGGATCATTTTAAAGCAAGTTGTAAGCCAATACCTATATTCTAAATTTAGTTATCTTACGGATCATAAAGTAACATAATTTTTTTTAAAGTTATCTTATATTAAATGTATTATATTATTTTTTGTAATTAAATTAAGGGGATTATTTTATGATTTTCTTAGAATTGAAACATATCTTAAATGGCCTTTAAAGTTTTGTGTAATTTGAAAAAGTATTTAAAATCTTATGATTAGTCGAGACAGACACACTTTCAGCATGCATCACGACTCTTTAGAAGGTATGAGACCCCTTAAGTATCTTGTAATGTAAGTAAGGCAACAGTTAAGAAGTTACATTTAAAATAGTTATAGCTAGTAATTAACTATAAAATGCTTTGATATTCTTACAGGAAAATGAACTTTGTGTTGGGAAATATGGTGCTATCTAAATATATCATAATTCTTTTGTCTCCTCAAGTATTCAATATTCAGAATAATGCATTCCTCAAAAGTGCAGTGTTTTGTTACAATGCATCAAAAACGTAATGTTTTGCTTTATGTTAATCTGCTTTTTAAATACAGGTGCTTTATGCTATGCGTAATTATCGTAAGGAAATTGAAAGTTCTCCTCAGATTTGTGGAAGCTCCCTTCCTCCTGAAATGCGTTCCTATACTGACATCATTCGCATAGAATTTTTCAATCATGGACTTACAGCTGGCGAAGGTTTCTCTTTAACTTATTCAACTGAAGAGAGGGCAAGTAAGTGCTTCTTATACAATAAAAAATAATTTACTATTTGAAATGTATATTGAGTTATTTGTTTATTTGTTTAAAACTACTCTACTTGTATCATTGCAGTTTGCGGAGGAAATCTCCTTTTGCCTAGTGGAAGTATTTCCACTCCAGTGTTTCCGTTATTGAAGGATTTTTATGTGCATTGCAAATGGTCTGTGTTTGGAGACAGTTTAGTTAACCGTACTGTTGTGTTCAAATTTGATGTGCTAGATGTTCCAGGTCTCAGAATCAATAGATGTTATCATGGTGGAGTGTATGTGAAACCAGGACGGAGAAGTGGTAAATTAGATTAACTGTTCATTGTCAAAAATTACTAATTCAGTGAGAGTACTTTGAACTAGTCATTTGTTGTACTTTGAACAATACGTCTTGTTGAAATAATTTTATGAATGAAATTAATTGATACAGTAAGACATGATCACCAGTTCTTTGTTCAGAATTGTATTAAATATAGTGAAGATGCAAAAGAAATTTAAAACCGTTTATATTTTGTAAGGATCTTAAGTTTAACTGACATTTATTTTATTTTAAAACTATGCTAGCCTCTCTTATTTTCCACTTCCGGCCAGAATAAACGCGTTAACTTGTTTATGTAACTTGTACTTGCTAACACTAATGTAGTGGCTTTTTGCCAACAGCAAAGTTAGATGGAGAGAGAGTGAGCCGCCTTGCCACTGCATTTCACGCGAGCTTGCCATCAGTTGCTGTCTTCCGTTAAGGCCAGAAGTTTTATTCCTCTCGAAAGCTTAAGACGTATTGTAGTTTTCCGCAGTTTGCGTTCTACATACGTAATAATTTAAAAGGCCAGTCTTAGTGTTAGTCATTTGTGTAAAGTATTTGTGTATTCAAAGATAGCTTTTATTTAAATTTTAGTTAGTCAGTAGTTCTTATATTTTTACGTTCAGACCACAAGTGGTTGGTCTTTGTATCCCGGAGTATGGGAGCGCCTGCAATATCGTAGAAAATAAAGGGTAATTTAACCCTTCTCATCTTGTCATCTTTGCTACATTCCATAGCACATAGTTTGTAGTCAAACTCACTGTCTAGTAATGACACGTCATGTTCGCCAAACAGATTAGTAGGAACAATAGTCCTGATAATTTTTACAGAGAAATAGATGACAAGGTAAACTATTAGTTATAACATAACTATTTAACTTCTAAATAAAAATTTTTAAATTATAGCCAGATGTAATTTGGTTATTTCTTTATAACTTTGAATCATACAGTTATTCTTAATTATTTAAATTTCTTTTAATATAACACAGGGCGATAACATTAGGTGGCAACAACTTAAAAAGTGAATCGACATTTATAGTGAACCAATGCAATATGACAAAATTAAATTAATAGTCTTTCAGAGCAAATTGCAGTCTTTGAACTAACAATTCAGTAACATTAATAAAAGTGGCATAAAATATATTTTTATACTTTATATCAGTTTTATTAATTTTATTAAATTGTTTTTGTTAGTCCAAGGAGGCTTTGCCCCTAAAAGAATATTGTTTTCGTTTGGCGATTTTGCGTCGAATCACTTTGAATGTCCGTTTCTCTTTTCAAACTGTTGCCACCAAATATTATCGTCCTGTATTACATTTGAAGAAATTAAATAATGAAGAATCTGCATAAATGTATGTGTATTTCTTGCATTCTGATAAGCAACGGTACCTAGAGCCATCCAATTTTGAATGACGTAATCCTACTGCGAATAAGGGCATCTGGAAGCTCAAATTTGAAATTTGGAATTTGTTTTATTATGGATTTCGTATTTTGTAAACCTTTAACGAATTTTTGATTGACAAACTCAAGGATTTCAAAACAAAAATGGCAACGTTGTACAGAATTTTTTTTTTTTTTTTTTTTTTTTTTTTTTATCTCGAGCGAGGGAGTCTCTGGATCGGAAATTCTAAAGATATGGCTCATTTTAAAATTATTTTGCGATATTGTTGTTGAACTGAGTTTTATGGTATAAGTGCGAAGAATGTGATATTTAAGAAATAAATGTAACACAGAAAATATTTAAAAAAATGCCCCTTTGGACGTAATTTTAAATCTGAAATTTTTCATTTTTCAGATTTTCTTTCTCTCTCTCTCTCTCTCTTTTTTTTTTTTTTTTTTTTTTTTTTTTTTTTTTATGTTTTTAGTCCAGAGGAGCAATTTGTCCTGAAGGACTATTCATTTCGTTTTACCATTTTTCGTCGAAACCTTTAAAAGGCTGCTTCACTTTTCTAATCGTTGCTACCATATAATTATTATTTATTAAATAAAGGTTACACACAAAATGTTAAAAAACGCCCCTTTGGACGCAATTTAAAATCTGAATCCTTTCAGACTTTTTTTTATTTACTTGCTTGCTTATTTTTATTTTTATGTATTTGTTCATATCTTTCGTGTTAAAAATGCCATTTTAATTTCGTTAAAAAATAAATGTATTGCCCTGTCAGCTGCTTGCGGATCTTTCATTCAGCTCGCATGCATTTTGAACTTGAAAACATTGAAATATTTAATTGTTTATAAATATAGGAAAGGTGCCTTTTGCATTTCAACCTGCAGTGAATAGAGGGAAATACTGAGTTTTAATTCTATTGTTCAACTTCGTAATTTCTTAAGATTAATTTCAAACTTTAATGCATTTGTCAGTTCAGAAATATGCTTTTAATTTTACTTCGACACACTTACACGAACCTTTTGATGAAGATCTACCGAGAGATGCAAAATCCATTGGCCTTTATTTTTGCACTTTTCTACTGTGATAATATGTGTATTAATATTCTTTTAAGACAGTTTTTTTCTGGGGATTTTTAAACAAGTCTCATTTACTAGCTATTTTCAAAACATTACGTATTTGCACACGTTTTAGCAACAATTCATTATTCCAATGGTATACGTGACATTAAATTTACTTTTTCTTTATGTTTAAATTCAATAAATACTTAGCATTACATTTTAATGCTACTAATGTTAACCTTCCAGCACGCGCGCTTGGCAATTTTACATGAACACGCGCGCGTCGTATTTTTTAATACATTCGTTATTTTACCGTTTTGGGCACGAAAACGACAGAAATGAGTGAATATTGATAATAAATTTGTTAAGAAATAAAATATTAATCTTATTATTGCAGAATACAAATGATATCACATTCAAATATAAGTATATTATTTTAAGATCTTATGTTAGTGAGATGGAAATGCAATGATGTATTTCATTATAGAAATTTTAAATTTATTATTTAATAATTTATTTTAAAATCGAAGCTAATTTTAAATCAAAGGCAAGTATAGACAAAAGGAAAACACTTTTTAGGGAAAGGTAAGTTAGCATTACTTACTTCCAAGTTTACTTTACTAGTTACACGCAATTTATAACACTTATCAGGTTCAATGTTTCTTCTAACCTTCTTCGGAAACATACAATGACCTGACTAGAACAGAGAGCTTACTAAAGCTATGTTCACTAATTGTAGTAAGTAGACAGGATACAGACGAAGGGTATACAAAACCCTTTATTTTTTCTTTATACAATGACTTCCGTACTTCGGAATACAATGACCCTCCACTCGGGGTCTAACGTTAAAAGATATCAAAATAAAACTAAACTCTAATTTAACTTTAGAATAAGATTGGCCTTATAATAACAGGAAGCGTATGTAGCACAGAGACTGTGAACACTACAATACGTTTAATTTATCAAGAGGATTAAAACCTCTGGCCTGGAAGGCAAAGTAGCAACTGCGTAACTTCTAAGGTAAGCGGCCTGCTTCGAACTCACGGCTTCCTCTCTTCTGCTTGGCAAAAAGGCCACACTTAAATACTTGGCGTTCGCCAGACAAACTTTGCATAAACTCCTTCACGCTTATAATTCTGGCCGGAAGTAGAAAATAAGAAGTGATAGTAAAGATTTAAAATAAAATAAACGTTAGTAAAACTTAAGATCCTTACATACTTCCCGCCAGAGTTAATTAGTTTGAAACTGAGGTCTAAAACGACCTTGTTGAAAACTTTTAGCTCTAGAAACTAACGCGAGGCCAACCTTTTACAATCATAACTTAGCTAGAAACTAGAAAATTTTAAAAGAAAGAAATTTGTTACAATAGCAGCTCCCGGAATATACAACAATCTTTTTTTCTTTTTCATCTGTACTGCATCAAAACAGGAGCTTTATTCAATTCTGGTTCCTTCCAGAGATCTGGAAGGAAAACTAGTTTAATGAAATGTTACAGAATGACATTGCAAATAACATATAGAATATACTTTTCTTAACATTCTTATTTCATTCATGACTATTTTAATTATCTCTCCCCGTGCTCTCTGACATGTGTTGTAAAAAACACCAAACACGAATGTGTTTCTGTCTATGTGTTCAACACTTCCTCCTACAATCAAAAACACTAACGTGTTAAAATTCAACATACGAGACCTCTTAACACACCCTAATTTCAACTCTAAACCCTGAGGTACTATTCTGAAAGTGGCTAACTCTAAAGTGTAGCGTCAGAGAGCCTAACTACATCATTCAACCTTTAACACATATTCACCATGATTTAGTCTTTACAGTCACACGAATAAAAAATTTTTAACATTACTTTCACTTTACCATATCACGGTATTTCTTAACATTTAAAATAACAGTTCACATTGTATATAAGAACATATCAACATGCCGTTAATTTTACACATTTGAAAACATACATTAGTAGTACATTGTTAACTTCTATTCTTTTCAAAGCAAGTGCCAATTCTTTCTACATTGAAATAATACTACATTTCAAAAAGTCTTTCAGACTAAAACTTCTTTCTTGCTAGAATGTTTTTAAATAAAATTTATACAATAACTTTTTACAATATTTAAGTCTTTACACAACGCTATTATATTATACATCAACTTTAGTTTTACGCGCGAGTAATTGAAAAACATAATAAGAAAATCGGTCACAACTCATTTCTCGCCCTTTTGGCGATAAAGGTAGACCTCGCATGAGGTAAAACTTCTTGAAATCTGCCACTTGCAGTAAGAATGAAAGATTAACTTAAGTTTGTAAAGTAGTACATAAAATTTTACTTATCTTTGTAATATTCAGGACATCCTTTTCTGGGCCCAGTCTTTAAAGGTGCTGCAGACCGTAGCTTGGTTGATCCTCCTTCTTGTACGGGCTCGCCCTTCAGTGCTTTCCTCTGGAAGCTTCCGTTTTTCACCACTACGGCCACCCTTGAACATCTTCCTTCTGTCCTCTGCTTGTGGTCTTGGCCGTTTGAAGGCAGCTGGTCTTGGTGGAACCGG